TGGCCACAGGAGTGGCTTCCCAAGGATCCCGCGTTCTGCAATGTGAGAGTACACAGTTTCGGGTACAACTCAGACTATTTGAATGACAAGGGTAACTGTCTAGACATACACCATTTCGCAAAATCCCTATTAGGGGAGTTGAGCACCTCTCCACATCTGAGTCAAGCGGACACACCAATAGTGCTCCTGGGACATAGTATGGGCGGCTTGGTTATCAAAAAGGCTTATCTACTAGCGAGCCAAGATGCCATTTTTGAGAAGCTTGTGAAGCGCTTTCATGCAATTTATTTCTTTGCCACACCCCATAGAGGGTCTGGCTCGGCTAAGCTACTTGAAAATATCCTAAAGATAACGCATTCCTCTCGCGCATACGTTTCCGACCTCAAGCGCGGCTCCAGTACGATACAATCTATCAACGAGGAATTTCGGAATCATTCCGGCAAGATGGAACTATGGTCGTTCTACGAGACATACAAACTCGCCGTTGGACTGTTCAGCATACTCATCGTGGACCCCGATTCAGCCACTCTTGGATATCGCGAGGAGCAACAGATCCCATTAGGAGCCGATCATCGCTCAATCTGCAAGTTTGATGCGGTCACAGATCCTAATTATATCACCGTTCGAAATGCCTTAGCCTTGACTGTGGGCCGAATATCGCACTCAGGTGAGTCTCCACATTAACGACACATATGACACCTATAGACAAGTTTCTGACTCAGATAAGTGGTCACGTCGAAGACACAACAAGTGAGAAACCAGTTACAGCAGCTTGAGACGTATCTAGGCATTTATGAAAATGTTGATGATGACCTTATCCTTCTCGAAGACACTCGTATGAAAGGTACTTGTGAGTGGTTTGGATCCAAGTCCAGTTTTCTTACCTGGAAAAGCTTTGACAAGAGCGGTCCAAACGTCTTTTGGGTCAATGGAAAACCAGCCACTGGAAAGTCGGTGCTTGCTGGATACGTTGTCAGTCAGCTTCACAAGACCAGGGCTGGTTGTAGTGTCTATTTCTTTAAATATGGTGATAAGTCGAAAAGTCGACTAAGTGGATGTCTGCGTTCCTTGGCTCTCCAGATGGCTTGCACAAATGCCGAGATTAGGAAAATACTTCTTGAGATGCAAAGCCAGGGAGTCAGAGTTGATAGTGAGGACGAGCGGATTCTATGGAGAAGGCTATTTCAACCCGGCATTCTTCGGGCTATTCCTGAGGGTCATTATTGGGTTATTGATGCACTTGATGAATGTGCCTCCTTCTCTTTATTTTTCGACGTCATCCTTACCAATCTCGACGAATCGACTCGGCTACGGATACTAGTGACCAGTAGGGCGACACCGGGGATATGCCAATACTTTTCATCGCTTGGAGCGCATAAGGTTATGTCCGAGCAAGTCTCCGTGTCTGACACTCTCCCGGATATTAAGCTGCTCGTCGAGGCCAGAACAGGGTCTTTGGCGGTAGGTGGAGACAAAGACCGCAATAACTTAGTGTCCAAGATTTTGGATAAGTCCCAAGGGTCATTTCTGTGGACTATGTTGGTACTTAAGGAACTGGCAAATTCGCACAGTGAGCAGGAGATAAGCCAGGCTCTTCAGGATATGCCCCGGGATATGGAACGGCTCTATATGAGATCGCTCGAATCGATGTCGCAAGCTTCACAGGGAAAGACATTGAGCAAGGCTGTTCTTATCTGGACTACATGCGCAACGATGCCACTCAAAATAACTGAGCTTGAGGTCGCCTTGAGGCTGGACGTCAATGATCATTTCCCGAGGTTAGAGGAAAGTGTATTATCACTCTGTGGCCAGTTTGTGACAATTGACAAACTTGGCAAGGTTCAGATGGCTCATGAGACGGCGAGAGAGTTTCTTCTCAACGCCAACCTCAAGTCTGAGTATGCTATCAGAAAGGAAGAAGCACATACTCGCATTGCTCGAACTTGCCTTATGTACCTCACAGGCGACGAGATGAAGCCCCCTCGGACGAGTGGACGAGGTGCTGCGGCCTTCTCTTCAAGAAAGAGGTCGAATTTCTGCGCGTATGCCTGTTCAGAGTTCTCATTCCATCTGTCAAAGTCAAGTCCAGTTGCAACTGATGTCTTCCACCTACTTGTCAAGTTCCTCACGGCGAACGTCCTGTCATGGATAGAGATGGTCGCGCAGACCAAGAATCTTGATCTTATCATCCGCGCCGCAAAGCATCTCAAGAAATACCTTACAACATGTATGGCGCATCTCCCGCCTGTTGCTGGTGACCTGCAGGTGATCAGAGGCTGGCCAACGGATCTGGTACGCGTTGCTGCCAAATTTTCCGACGCTCTACTGATTTCACCCGCGGCCATTTACTCTATCATTATACCTTTCTGCCCTCAGGAATCCACCATTTACGATGCTGGCAATTCTGTGAAAAGGCTTTCCGTGACGGGCCTTTCTCAGAACCAGTGGGATGATCGACTGGCATGTATTGAGTTCAGCCAGAGCCAAACAACGGCGATCTGCTACGGCGAGATTATTTTTGCAGTTGGGTTGAGTTCCGGAAAGGTCACGCTGTACGATGCTACTTCGTATCAAGAACTTACAACACTGGAGCATGGAGAAAGAGTGATGCATTTGCAATTGTCTAGCAAACGCGGGCTGATTGCAGCATGCGGAATGAAGACAATCAACATATGGGAGATTCTTAGTGGCCGATTGATTTCCACTTATCCCGCACCACCCCGGCCACTGGGAATGATAGTTGATGATGATCGACTTATAGTTGCGTCGACCAAAAATTACTTGGCGTCGTGGGGACTCGACGAAGGCGGAATGCAGTATCCCCATCGGCCATGGAACGATTCTGACAGAATGAATGTTCCGACACATCGAGTCCCTTCTGCTGTATCAATATCAGTTGGTCACCAAATGATGGCAGTTGCCTACAGCCGACGGCCCATCATCCTCTGGGACCTCCAGGAGGACGCTTACTATGGGAGCTGCGGGAAGAAATTCGCCAATGGCGAAACCAGCAGACAAATGGTCGCTGCATTGGTTTTCAATCCCAACCCTTCGATCGAACGCCTTGTGGTAGCCTATCTCGATGGAGAGCTTACCCTCGTCGATCCATTCCAGGATGAGGTTCTGGTGAGCTTCCGGGCCAATTGTCAAACCCTAGCAGCTAGTCCTGATGGGCGTCTGCTAACGGGAGGTGTCGGATCTGGAATAATTCACATATATGACTTCGAGACATTGACGCTTCTTTACCGAGTTGAGTCCACAAAACTCTACATCAAACAATTGGCATTCAGCCCGGATAGCCTGCGACTGGCCGACATCAGGGGTACGGAATGTAACATCTGGGAACCTGCTATTCTTCTTGGTGACTCAAGCGGAAACGACAGCAGCCAGGCTACGTCAAATACTGTGTTCGAGATAGTGGCCACAGAGACAAGAGTCAAACTTACTGCACTTACTGTGGACGTCCAGGAAGATGCCGTATTCTGCAGCAAGAGCGATGGATCGGTATGTCTCTACTGTATACGATCAAGCAACGAATTACGCACACTCTATCGTCATAAGATCAGTGTTCACGTACTCAGCTGGCTACCCAAGGCCAAACTCCTGCTGAGCATCGACGTGTCGAACAGAATATTAGGGTGGAGACTCAAGAAATCACCGACAGAAGGTTGGCTGCCAGACGAAATGCTCTTCCAATCACGCCTCGACTGCGGACATGCGATTACCCAAGCACTGGCTAGTGATGTCGCAGGAAAGTTCATATTGTCCACTCGGGAAGCAGATTATTTGTGGAATATCAGCGGTCACAAACTAGACATGCGAACATATTCGTCAAAACCCAGCATCCGCAAGTGGCTGCAACATCCTGATTCAGAAGAACATGTGATATGCTTCGAAGGCACGACCGCTCGTATCTGTTCCTGGGGCGACTTGACTGAAGTAGCAATAGTCGAGATCAATATTCATTTGGGTGGTCTACAGATCAAGAATGCCTTTCCCTGCAAATCCGCAAGGGAACAACGCATACTTCTCGAGTTATTGGAGTTAGATGGCTCAGCTAAGACATGCAAGCTCTACCTGCTCGATGCGGAGGCATTCGCTGTTTACAACGAAGGAAATAAGCCAGATATTCCCAGCGCAGCATGCGCAGGACAAAAAGATACGCTACTGGAGAACAAGCTAACTCGTACTGACCGGACATCGAGCCAGTGCCTTATCAACAGAATAGCCACCCTGAGCAGGAACATCACACATTGTATCGGTGTTACCGCGTCCAGCAAGGTTGTCTTTCTGGATACCCACTCGTGGGTCTGTACTGCTGATCTGGACACACCAAAGGACAGCAAAGAGCTATATGTTCGCCATTTCTTTGTGCCATATGATTGGTTCTCGGGGTCAAGACACCCAATCTCGACCCTTGCTGGGCGCGATGTCTTGATTATACGCAAGTCAGACCTTGCTGTTATCAGAGGAGGATTGGAATACACGCTGCCGGTGGAATCTCCAGAAGCTGTACTTAAAGATTGACATGGCTCTTCGAAGCAACGACTGCTGCCTCATTGATTCCCAACATGGTTTTCAGAGTCATGGGAGGGGGCTGATTTGTAGGGTCGTCTCAAATACCAATATAACGACATTTCCTCCATGAAATCAACCATCTTCCAAAACCCTTCATAATTGGGAGCCAACGTTTCCAGGTTCAAATGAAGTGCTTAGGTTACGCGTCGCTCCGGCAGATATCAAGAAAAGCACGCGCAGAACATGCCATCGCAGGTGCGGTATGTGGGAGTAACCTAGTTGAAACGCATACTTAATTCTATTGGGCATAACATTCTATCTTTGCCTCCGACCTCCGACCTCCGACCTGCGGAGCTTTGCTTAAGCGGGACCAATAACGGACCGCGGATCGAGTATCCCTCCTACCTTATTTCCGCAGGGCAGGCGTTGTACCACGGTTCCAAAACAGGACCAGGGAGCGTACCACGAATTTGAGATCAACTATGTCCCAAAACAATCTGTATGGCACGGACAAGACGTGGACGGCTGCGGACTATGCCATTGGACGGAAAATGAATGGATACTGGGCCAACTTTATCAAGACAGGCAATCCCAATGGAGGATCCCTGGCCCAATGGCCTGTCACGGAAGAGAACGCGACGGTGCAGCATGTGGGCGATGGAAGGGGTGAAATCCCGACCGCATCTGATGCGAAGGTTAAGTTGTTCGAGGAGTGGTTTGAGACACTGAAGACATACTGAGGGCATGGAAATATCTGCTTGTATATAGCCGTCTGTAATCAGCCATGCTTCATGTACATCATCTATAGGATAAGCAACAAATGCAAATTGCCTGATATGCTTCCCCGCATTTGTGGAGCCGGTCGATCATTGTAGATTATCCATTTAGCCGATACCATGCGTATATCTGCTTCATCCCAGCTGCTCGGACTACCCGCAGATTCAAGGTAAAATCATTGAGAATATCACTTCAATTGAGTACCATCAATACGACCATGGCCCGTCACAATAATCATAACTTCCTCCTCTATCTCGTGATCCTCCTCTCCCTAGCCCTACCCATTCTAACCACTCCCCTTCCCTCTTCCCGGTCTGGATCACAATCCCAATCCCACTGGGTCGACATCTGGACCACAATGCCCCAACTCACCGAACCAGCCAACCTCCCCCCAGCCCCATTTGTACGTCCCCCCTCCTTTTCTCCACCCCCAGTTTTATACACCACTAACATGAAATAGAACTCCACTCCCTCCATCTTCCCCAACACGACCCTCCGCCAAACCCTCCGCCTCACCCAACCTGCCCAAACCATCCGTCTCCGTCTCTCCAACGCCTTCGGTAGTACCGACCTCCCCATCACCTCCGTAGCCATCTCCGTCCCAGCCAACAACACCCTCGGCAGCGCATCCATCATCCCGGGTACCACAACCCCGTTATCCTTCGACGGAGACGCCTCGATCCTCGTTCCAGTAGGGAGTCTCATCGTCTCCGACCCAATCACCCTCCCGAAACAAGCGGGTACGACACTAACAGTAGACTTGTATCTGGAGAGCGGACAAAATGGGACAGATATTACATCTCACCCGGGGAGTCGGACGACGTCTTGGATGGGATTTGGGGATTTAGTTGGTGTGGATGAGGTAGTTGGCGGGGATGTGGTGGGGGTTGAGCATTGGTATATCCATCCCCTTTCTCTTCATTTCATTATTCAACCATATCACACCGTCTCAGTCGCACAATGTATACTAATAGTTTTGAGGGAAAAAGGTACTTCATCTCTACCATTGAAGCCCTCCTCCCAGATACGTACCACGGGTGCGCAATCCTCGGCGACAGCATAACAGACGGACGAGGGAGCGATACGAATGAAAATAATCGGTATCCTGGCCTCCTCTTTGTCTCCAACAATACATCAAAAGACTGACACATAATGATGCTACACACAGCTGGCCCGACGACCTCCTCCCATACCTCCACACCCCCAACTCACCAACAACCACTCTCTCCCTCCTCAACCAAGCCGCCGGCGGCAACCGGCTCCTCCACGACTCCCTCGGCCCAAACACCCTCTCGCGCGTCGACCGCGACGTGCTCTCGCACTCCCACATAACGCACACGATCGTCTTCGAAGGCGTCAACGACATCGGCACAGCATCTACCTCCCCCACCGCGCAGCAAATAGTAGGCGATAGAATCATCATGTCCTACAAACAGATCGTCACGAGGCTGCATGCGGCAGGGATAAAGGTGATCGGAGCGACGATCACGCCGTTCGGGACACCACCGAATGCGTCCGTCGTGCAGCCGTACTCGGATCCGGAACGGGAGAAGACGAGACAGAAGGTGAATGGGTGGATACGGGATTCGGGGGTGTTTGATGGGGTGGTTGATTTTGATCGGGTGGTTAGGAGGGGTGACGGGGCTGGGAAAGATCTGTTGAAAGGGGAGTATGATAGTGGGGATCATTTGCATTTGAATCCGAAGGGGTATGAGGCGTTGGCTAGGGCTTTTCCTGTGGAGTTATTGAATTAAGCTGAGTGGGGAGAGTGTGGTAGGTGGAATAGTTACGTTATTATGCCAATTGACTGACTGATTCAACTACTACTAACTAACCAGCTAGCTAGATATTAATTAAGTTCGTTCACATACTCATGCTCATTTTGCATCATACCCATACAAGATCTTCCTTCTCTCTAGAGATGGTTTAGTATCCCCGGAGGCTGCGACGACGGGGCACACTGCGCTTGAGGGAAACACCGGCCTCAGCGGCATCACCGTAGGGACCAAAGTCCGGGGATCCACCGAGGGTTCCGAAGATATCACCGACGTAATTGCTGGGGGTGATACCGGCAGCGAACGTGGCGTTCCACTGGCTAATGATACCCTCGATGATCTTGACACCGGCGTTGTAGATGTTCTCGACAGAGGGCTCGTAGGCACCGGTAGAAGCGTAGAGGAGGTTCTCGCGGGCCGACTCGCCAGGGTAGGGACGGTCGAAGTCCGAGGCGGTACGCATGACGATGATACGAGAGAAGTCGACGAGCTTAGCCTTAGCAGCACGAACCATGGCCTCGAGGGTGGCGTTGTCCTCCTGGGCGGAGGCGCAGTAGTTACCGGTACCGTTGGTCAGGACCTTAGTAGTGTTGGCGAAGGTATCGCCGAGGATGTTACCGGAGTAGTAGACGTCGCTGGTAGCGACATCGCACTGGACGACGGAGGGGGCGGAGGCACCGGCAGCGTAGATGCCGTCGGAGGTGTTGTAGTTAGCGCGGTAGGCCTTAGCGGCGTCGGAGTCCGCGAGGGTGGCCTTGCTGGCGAAAGCGGCGGCGATCTGGCGCAGGTTGTCGTTGACTTCGAAGACCTCGGTGCCGTAGATGCTGCCGGGGTATTGCCAGGGGTAGTAGGCGCCCTGGGGGAAGTAGCCGGTGGTGGCGTTGGCGGGCATTTCGCGGATGTCGATCTCGTACTGCAGAGCGACTTGGACGGCGTAGCGGGCCAGAGTCACACTGCAGATGGTGGTCTGCTCGGGGTTGACACCGGCGATACCGGCGATCAGGAAGTAGGTGTTGGTCAGGTCGAAAGTGGGGTTGAAGATGATGGAGGAGACGGTCACGGCCGCGTTGATCTCGGCTTCACCGGTGACCAGCTGGCAAATGTTGTGGTCGGCCGTGCAGTGCACGTCCGGGAAGAGGGGAGAAGCTCCCGGGATGGTGATGTTGTGCTCCAGCACGTTGAACTCGGGAATACCCCACCAGATGGCGGCTTCGGGTTCGAACTGGGTGGTTTGTTAGTATATGACAGCATTCATGGTGGGGTTGGATTAGGGTGCTAGATGAGGGTGGGCTACCATGGACACAATGAAGACCTTGGGAGCGATCTTGTCAGTGGACTGGCGCGCGGCGATGTTCTTGGCCGCGGGGACGGAGCGAGCCGCAGCAAGGGAGGACAGGCAGCTGCTGGCGAGCAGCAGGCCCGTGGAAACGGATTGAAGGAGCTGCATTATGTGTGCGATGGTGGTTGAGTGCACTTTTTTGGCTGCAATGGCTGGATGGTGAAAGCGATGTTGGGGAGACCAGCTTTATAGCTTGCGATTGAGGTCTTTCTGTTCTGCGTATCAACGGCGTAGCTATCGGGATTTGGTAATAGGGTGGTTTAGTCGACCCACCGCCGCGTGCTAAATGCCCACATTGTTGGAAAAACTCTGCCAGGGAGACGGGCTGATTAGGAAGGATTTGCATCGAGAGCGGAGAGGGTAGCATTGGTGCCTGCCAGAAAGCCAATGATCGGCGATCCATTCCGTACGAACCGAGCCGGTTGCTGCGGTGCATTTAGTTGGGGTTACTTACTTAGTGCTGTTCTCCACCCAGCTGAAGAATGGGACGCAATTGAGTAGCTGAGTTTGCCGTGGGCGTTATTTTATTTTTCTTCTAGCTGCCAATGGATACAGAGATCAATCATCGGTAGACTAAGGTACGGCATACAGTAGATAGATGCCATCAATTCCTGTTCCTGAATGTTGTTCCCACAATAAGAAGAGGATATACCCCGTGGCACCACGGAACGGAGCCAAGAACTAACGCAGGAACAAAACAACAACCCAAAAGGCAAAACATGGAATAGATAGCAAAAAGATAAGCGGGGAGCCGGCCGATAACCATCGCACCACCAATATCGCGCAATTTAATTAACTTAGATTGCCTTATCGCTCACCGGCCTATCAACGGCGCCACTAGTGCCGGAGTGGAGGGATTCCATCGGATTTCTCCTCTCCATCATGCTTCCCAATGCGTCCATTGCTGCACCTAGGCAATTGATTCACATCCCTGTGCAGATATGGTGACATCGTGCGTGTCCTCAGCCGTAGCTGAGTTTATATAGTAATATAAGAAGCTGAGATTCAAATCCCGATGAGTAGAATTGCATGGTGTTCACGGCTGTAATGGGGGGAAGATGAGGGCACGAGGGAGGGCACGTGCGGGGCTGCGCCCAGCTGAAGAACTTTCCGATCACCACCACGGCACTCTCCACCTCGTTGCAGTCAGACCCCGTAGGGCGTACCGATTAGATGGATGAGTTACTAATAAGGAAGAGATTATAGCCGGGTGTGAATCTACAATATTCGTATGTTATCTTATTCCTTGGCAGTAGTAGTAGTACTCTCGCGGAGATCTCCTATCTTATACTTCAGTTAACTGTACTGTCCAAAATATATATATCTACGGATACTCCTATTACTAGTACTAGCAGCACTAGCAATGCCGATACTACTAGCAACACCAACCCAGGTCAACCAGATAGTACTACTAGTTGTATTCAGCTCTTTATCCAGTACATGCATCTATTGCAAAGGAACCGTATTAGTACTCCGTCGTTTAAATTTAATTGAACATTCGTTCAATTCTATCCAAATAACTGCTTGGAGCCACACAATGGTAATCACCATTCCGACAAAACATCATGAATGTCACTTGTAACCTGTACAACCACTACATCGACATCGTAAAATAGTACTATGTTGGGAAACGAAATGCCAGTGCTCTACGTTCAGAATGGCATCCCGCATTGGTAATTCCTTGTTGCTGCGGCCATTTACATCTCGCTCCTTCTTGGTCGCAATGTCACGTCCGCGGACTCGTTTCTACTACATTCCCCGCTCAGACTCTCATGCGAGGTTTCCCATACCTGAATATAGCTGAATCGCTGGGCAAAGACATCAAGCATCTTCGATGATACATAAAGAACAGTCATATCCCTTGACATGACAGTCAATCCATGTACGTAGTACCCCAACTGCAAGAAGAATGTCAGTCTCCAGGGCCTACTAAAGAATACTTACATCGGATTCGTCGGCCTTGGGGATTTTTTGGGCTTCGTTGATCCAATCATCACCAATACACCCCACGGCCTCCCTAGACGAGGCTTCTTGTTGGTCGGTTCTCATTCCATTCCTTTCCTATCATGCCACTCGGGTGAATATTCCGAACATGTGCTGATCACCACCCAATGGAATAAGCAATCCAGCCGAGCATTCTGGAATCCAACTGTCAGCCAGTTGGCGTCTGTCACGAAGCCTACGGAGTGTTGGTGAATTATCACGTGATCTAAACACGCCGACCATCCGCGGACTCGAGCAAGAATGCATCATCCCTTGCCAAGTTGCGACCGTGATGCCATCTTGGTAATTGTCAGGGTCCAATCGCCTGATCCATCAATCCGACAGATCTGGTTCCACCGGAAGCTCACGGATTCTAGAAGACGGAAGATCTTCTAGGGATCCCACTGATCGCTGCGAGTTTATTGAAGTTAAAGCTGGCCCCAAACTCAGTTTTCGAAACTAACTCGCCGGGATCGCTCCACATGGCAAGGGTATGAAGTGCTGTCTTAGACAGTTTCGGTCGAGTGGAGGTTATTCCTGACCGGACTCCATCCCCCTTCCTCCATACATGTCCGACGCGAAACCACGCTGACGTGGACAGCAGGGGATCTCACATTGCGCGGTCAGATCTCCGACGATCTCCTCCACCAACAACGGCCTTGGTGGAGATCCTGCACTGCTGCTACAAATACATTGGCCTCCCTTGCCGTGGCTGCCTCGGCCGATCCAAAGCAATGTCAGATGCTTGGCAGCAGCAGACCTCAACGGCCTCGTACGACCTCGGAGCGGAGTGGCAGGTCACGGGTTGATCCATGAAGCAGCTGGGATGCTGTCGGGCTGCCGAGAGACGGTCGGAATGTTATTGAGCGATGATGTTTCCGGGTGTGGGAGGGGATGCGATGGTCATCAGGCTGAGCCGTAGGTGGCCTCTTATTCGGATCATTCATCCCTGGCCAGCTCAAAGACACAAGGGGTTATATACCCCAGCTGAGGCGTGTCACCATGTGAGCTGACAGGAAATCCGCGTAACGGGTCAACGTCAGGTTTGACGACTTCGTCACACCGACCGTTCTTGTCCGTGAGAGGATGGCATGTAAGAGCCGCTCCATGCGATCACATTCTGCCACTGAAGATTACGCTGGACGCGAGGCCCGACTGCAGTATCTCCGCAAGTGGACAAAGGGTCCTCTCTAAATGGGAAATGCAGCGATGGGCAGCAGCTGCACTGGAGGAGTCAGATGCAGCAGAGAAAGCCGCGTCATCGTCAGCTGCGAGATGCTCCCGTGCGCCTGCCGATCGCGGGAAATGAGTCCGCATCTGCTGTGTTGATAGTCTTATTCCTAAAGAGAATGATCAGACCAGACGTAGCATGAAGGATTGGGGGGAAAGCGAAGAAGAGAGTCAACTGGCCGATGTCATCGGGAAACGACGTCATCCACGTGGGGTTGGACCGTGACGTCACCCTCCCGTCTCCCTCCAACTTGTTGGTTGTTATACTCTTTCCTTTTTATCTTTCTATCTTCCCCTTTCTTCTGCTGGTATTGCATCGCATCGCGTCGCATCCTGGACCTTGCATCGCAAATTTGTTCTGCCACCCGTTAGGATACCCCTTAGACGAAATACCCCCGACCGGCTCGCTCAGGTGAGCTTACATGACAACCGCTATCAGCTAGATATCCATAACTAATCCCTCAGTAGCCACCCACGAAAGTCTAATCAGGAACCACAAAGTCAGATCCAAAGAAACAACACCAACTCAGCTCAGTAATCACCAAAAATGGTCGGCTCCATCCACGAACGCATTCGCGAAGACCTTATCGGCAAGGAGCGTCGTCTCTGGACGGCGCTCACCTCGGCTGACCCGGGGCCCGAAATCAAGAAGATGTGTAACGAAGAGGCCAACCTACTTTTTCCGCAGCGCGAGGTTCTGCACCTGCATTCGAAGCCGTCAATCAGCGAGGCACTGAAGCCACCCTTCCATCACTTCGACGAGTACGAACTGCAGGAGGTGCGCGTGATCGTCATCGACTTGATGGCCGGGTCAGTAACGTACAAGATCAATGCGCGCCGCGGAGAAGAGACGTACCGGGGCACCGGGTCGACGACATGGAGCCAGGGGAGTGATGGAGAGTGGCGGATTGTGGTGCATCAGGAGACATTAATGTGATGAGATGAGATTCATTGAGATTCAGATGTAGGGGGGCGATATGGGAAGTGGCAGTGACAGTAGGGGATGGATGAAATGGACGAATCATGATTTCTTTTGATGCAGTCATTTTGATGCAGTCTGCTGCTGAATATTCTTTTTCTTGTTACATTATTTTATTTCTATTTTTCGTTGGACCCTGCTTTTCCATTCAGGGGTTGAATATCCCTTTGTATTGATTGTGATTGCGTGGATGTGTGAATGTGGCTGGCTGACATCAGACGGACAACGGAGTTTTGAATCAGACAAGACTCTGACATTAAGGTCCACGCAGATCGTCATAATAGCATAACACAACATAACATAGTTCCCATCTCATCTTCATATGCTAGTCTTCCCTTCCCTCGTTACCCAAAGAAAAGCAACCACAAAACAACATAAGACAACTCAACAAAAGAAAAAAGAACCAAAAGAAGAAAGAAAAGAAAACAAAAAGATCAACAAAGTTCACAATCATAAGGCTACCCAACCCACCCCAGTGGGACCAATAGTAACTGCATCATTATTGGCCCTAGTTTCATCGCGGTAACAGCAGAGTGGAGCTTAGCAGCATGTTTTCTTCTGTAGGGCGAGGGTGGCAGTGTGCAGATTGCAGCTGAGCACGCACCAATTTTTTTGCACTGCACGGCAACTCCGTGTTCATGCATGCACTAGCTAGCTGGCTAGCTAGTTAGTTTATTATTCTTTTGCTTTCTTCTTCTTCTTCTTCTCCTTCTTCTTGCTTACTACTACCCTACCTGACTACCGGAATGAGATACCTAGCAGAGACCACTTACTATCTTGGGTAATGATCTGTCGATCAGGGTGTAGTTTCTGTCAGGGTCTAGAACTTTGTGCTGCTTTGCTCACTGAGAATACATTTGTTAGATTTATTAAGGTTTGGAGAGCGAAACACACCACGTACCAGATGCTACTTAAGATCTGATGTGACGTGAGGAGTAAGCAGTACTAAGTACAAGGCAACCAGATTATATTAGTTATAATTTCATCATGATTGATTAGGTCAGATGGAGTACAGTAAGAAAGTAGCCAGTTACTCTAATCGGTCAAGAACATATTACCTGTCAAGTAAGTGAAAATCTAACCACTCAATTTCCATTTCCCTTCTTGGTAATGTAGGATATAATAGTATATGTACCACGCAAGCTGCGATATGTATAGTAGGAAATAAATATCGGTTTCCCCACTTTGGAAATTTCAATAAACAACACAGCCCCCTTTCTTTCTTTCCTTGCACTTTGATCCCGAAAATAATTTCCATCACATCCCTGCCATCCAATGTAATCCAACAACAACTCTTTCTCTCTCTCACAAAATTAGATACCAGAAGGGAAATCGAACAAAACCAGATATTGTAAGCAAACAAGACAAGGGAATTTGTAAAGAATCAAAAAGAAAATAGGGAAAATGATTAAACACCATTAGCAAACCCATCACCACCAGCCTCAGTATCGACCCTCACCGAATCCATCAACCCACAAACCTCGAACAACTTCTTCGGCCCCATGCCCTCCGGCAACCCGACGACACCATCCTTCTTCAACCTCTCCAGAGCAGCCGTAATGCCCATGTAAGCCGGAGTAATGCAAGCGAACGAGAAGATCATGATACGGAAGCCCATCTCCTTAGCCTCATCAACGGAAATAACCGGCCCAGCCCCGTTCTCCACCATGTTAAGCAGAAGCGGCCAAGGCGCAAGGTCCTGTACACACCGCCTCGCCATCTCCTTACTGGTGAAGCCCTCAAGGAGACCAACATCGGCGCCAAGATCGCGGGCGGCCTTAAGGCGACGAATGCACTCGTCGTAGCCGTGCTGCTGGAGGGCGTCAGTGCGGGCAATCAGCACGATGTCGCTGCGGAGGCGGTCCTTGGTGAGCTTGGCGGCGCGGAGGCGAGTCAAGTATTCCTCCATGCTGACGACGCGCTTGCCTGCCAAGTGACCGCATCGCTTGTTTTGGATCTGGTCTTCGATGTGGAAACCCGCAACGCCGGCTTGGATGTATTGTTGAACGGAACGAGCGACCATTAGGGGGCCTATATTGTTTTTGTTTTTGGTGGTTAGTGGGGAAACTGGGTCTTATATTGCCGTTTTGCTTTTGGGAGCGGGTAGATCATTATGTCTTGGCAGAGGGTGGAAGTTTAGGGGATTATGGGGATTTGGCTCACCTCCGTAGCCAGTGTCCATGTCAGCGATCAGGGGAGGGCCGTAGGGGTCCAGGTTCGCGATCATCTCCGCGTTGGTCTTCATGTCGTAGATGTGGGCTAGACCCAGATCGGCCATGCCCAGTCTAGACGCGGTAGTGCCGGCGCCGGTCTTAAAACCCTTCCGTTAGTATGATCTTTGTTTTCGCCGGAAGCGGAGAAGTGTGCGTTGATTGATTGTGGGGAAGAGGGTAGTAGTAGTAGCTAGCATGGACATACCATGTACATGCCCTTGAAGCCCAGGTTGATGGCAATGCGGGCGGACAGACCGTCGTAGACACCAGGGCACACGATCAACTCATCGGACTCGCGAAGCTGCTTGCGCAGCTTGCTAGCACCAGTGACCATGTTCAAGTTGACCACGGGCTCTTGACGGGCACCGTTGATCTCATAGATACCGTCCTGCTCAACGGTGATGGTGATAGTGTTGGTCATGCTGATGGTGGAAGCAGAATCGGGGGTATCAACTTTCATTGCGAGGGGGAAAAACCACAAGGTATATATAGGTGGGAACAAGGAGAGTTTTTTATCCCTTGGAAAGTGGAGAGTTGAAGATAGGAGAGAAAAGAGGCTTGATGAGGATAGAGAGAAACCAAAGGAAGAGCCAGAAGGTGACCAGTTTATATAGACGTGTCGGGAGAAGATCATCCCGCCAGCAACCAATATTCATTACCTGAGAAGATCATTTTTAAGAATTGTTTTTTATTTTTCCAATACTTCTTTTCTTTCTGTCTGCAACATTCCCCTCCTGGTGGATTGTAACGCAAGCCCTTGGCCGAGAATCATCGTCAATCCACACAAATGCACGTACACCCTACTCCGGTGAACGAACCATTGCCATTGAATTTTCTTGGCCACCATCCCAGCGCCGAGAAAAGAAAAGAAAATGGTCAATCGACGCCATCGGCGGACTATGATTTGTGCCTGTGACAAGTCGAAAAATGTCCGAATGCAATGCAGCAGGGGCCTAGATAAGCTCCCCCTCCTCTTTTTCTTTTTTATTATTTTAATATTACTATTGTTATATTATTCGCATTTTTGTTTTCCCGTCCCCCCTCTTCCCCGTACGTAGGCTAATGACCAGTAAATCGCCAGATCTAGTAAAGGATGGGGCTGGCTGGACCGCCACCGCGAGGGGAGTTAAGAGACATACTCCGCGCGTAGTTTCAGATTACGCGCGCCGGTGATGGCAGGATTGATTGACTAGGTGATTCCCTGATTTGGTCAGGTCAGGGGAGAATGAAGGAGGGGGTGTTGAGTGAGATGAAGTCAGATAGATTAGGCCCGTACTTTAGGCCACGCCGACAGTGCATGGACAAGACGCATCGATTCAAATCGATGCGGTGGCACACGAGCACGAGTTCCTCGGTAGCCGCAGGCTCCAATATACTGCAGTTGCTGCATGTCAGACGCTTTTGCTCATCACGGACGGGGCCCGTTGTTCTTCACCCAGTTGAAAAAGACAGTAGCCTAGCCAAGTCGCATTGGCAGAGGAGGGATGGAGGGGGAGGGAGAGTAAGTTTGGTGGCCAACTGAAAGCCAGCGAGCAATCAACCTCCGGAGTTCGCCAGCTGGGCGAAAAATGGGATGGATCGGGCTTGATTGGCGCTTGGCCGAGGAGGCAGATCTGCACCGATAGACTGCCAGGGCTCGGCTGATGCGCCGGAAGTTAAACGGCATCCCACTTACGGAGTCACTGTTGAGGATTGCCAGCGGCAGGGCGGGTTCTAGCACGCCTGCTGAATGGCGGAGAAACCGGAGCGCATTGGCTCCCGGGACTTATCGCAGATGAGGTGAGAGAGGGGGTGATGGAGGTTAGTGATGAAGAGATAGGCAATAGTGCATGGCTGACCAGCCGACGGAGAAGCCGATGGAGAAACCAGGACCCAGATGGACCAGATGGCCCAGGGCAGCAGCTGCAGTGCGGACTCTCATCGCCGACATTAAGTGCGTCTCTGTTGCTGCATGCTGCAGAGCCAAGTATCTTGGCAACCTGGGGGGGACAGAAAATTAATACTGGAGGCGATAGTCTCGAGTCCAGCCCCGGTTTTGCTGGGGAATGAGTGATGGATCTGGCTGCGCGGTTGGCTCTTGCGCACGTCTAGTGATTTTTTAGGTAGTGGATGTACTCTTTTTGTCCTTCCTTGGTCATGAAAGGGTCATGGTCACTTCGCAAGTTGCCTAGAAATGTGCTCATGGCCTAGAATGCATTTACTCTCCGGTCAGTGCGAGTGATCAGAACCCCGGTGTGTAACCCATGAGTACAGAAGAGGAAAAGGGAGAGGAGAGCTGAGGAACATTTCGGACCCGGCTGGGTGGTGCCGCATAGGTGAAACTGACGACGCGGGTCCGACACAGCAAGCAGTCCGACAAGTCCCCTGCCTAGCAGATCGGATGCAGTGAGGAAAAATAAACCGCCACGACTATTGGAGCTGCAGATTGGAAGAGGATTAATCGATAGATAGGTAGGACCGGACTAAACCGGGAGGAGTATAGGGGGAGTGGGAGGAGGGTAAGAAGAACAAGGGTAAGGGAGACAGAGAGAGTGTTGAGTGAGTGAGTGTCTGTGTGGTGAGGCGCAAGTCAGCCGATTGGCGGAGAGGAGATCCAGTTTGGGAGGTTCAAGGGTAGTAAGCAGTCTGATTAGTTACTTAGATTGGGTGAATAATGACGAGAGACAGAGAGAGAGGGGGTAGACTGGACGACCAGCATAGTCCGAGAGGGAAAAGAAAAGACAGGCAATGATAGTCGTGGCTGACTTAGCTAGAGACTCCAAAAACGGCGGATAGAGAGGCTAGCTCGTCACTTCGATAGCACTAGAGTTCTCGGTCCAGTTGTTAGTTGAGTTAGGTCGAGTCTAGTGCTGTAGGGAATCAGCCCAAGCCCGACAGCGGCTCCGGATTCGCCCGGCTTGGCCCCTCTGGGCGATTGGTAGAAGTTTGGGGGGGGGGTTTTAGGAGAAAGGGATAGCGGCCTGGTCTTGGAATCTTGGAACGAAAAAGAAAAAAAAAAGGTTTGTGAAGGTTTTGCTCAGAGGGTCTGCGGCCCACGCGGGCCCACGGTTGCGGTTGTCTTAAAGCTGGCGAGCTCTTCAATTTCCACGCGTCTGTCAGCCTGCCTTTTCCCGCTTCTTTCCTGCTCTGAGCGTGCTAATTGAGAGACTGACAGACAGAGTAAGAAAGCAAGAAAGATACTTTCATACTTCTTTTTCTGCTGCTGCTGCTGCTGTCGTTTCTGCATCTCTGCTTGGGCCCTGTCTTGCTCTGTTTCTTTCCCTCCAACCCACCGGAGCAGCAGCCTAATTTTCCAGCCATTGAAACCATGGAGGACAGTAAAGGTGCTAGCCCAATGGTTAGCTATGTTAGGGCTGAGATCAATGTCAAATATGCGGATTTGTTGTTGCTGGTCTGTTGTTTCTGTTCGGGTTTGCTGGACAGCACCATGTACAATGGTGAGTCACTCTCTTTCTCTCTCTCTCTCTCTCCACTCTCTCTATCCCTTTCCTCCACACCTTTCTTGTCCCTACCCCATCAATCTCCATAAATCTCCATAAATCCCCATAATTCATAATAATGGAATCATACTTACACTCTCCCCCACAGCCTACAATACTTTCGTTTCCATGCAAACAGGAAACACCATTTTCGTGG